GAGTCTGGAGAAGAAGATTTTTGAAATATTGGATAATTTTCCCTTTGGGGCCCCGCCCTGGCCCCAGGGGTTGGGGTAGGAATCCCAATTTTACAATTTTGAAGCCTCATCTACCAAGGATGATTCTGACCAAGTTTGAAAAAAATCCATCCACTGGTTCTTGAGAAGAAGTTGAAAATGTAAAAGTTTAGGCACGACGCACGACGGACGACGAACGACGAACGACGACGGACGACGACGGACGAAAAGTGATTGGAATAGGTCACTTGAGCAAAGCTCAGGTAACCTAAAAAAAGCCAAAACAAGAAATTAGCAGGGATCAAACTTGGGACCTTTATATTGACAAGCCTACATTTTTCCAGTGTTGCCATACAGGAATTGTGAAAGGATAGTATCAAAATAGGTGTACAATTTATGGGCCAGAAAGCATATGAAAACTTGACAGGGGAAGTTACTCTTAAGCCTTTATGCTGCTGCTATGTAGAAGGGAGAGTAAACCGAGTCACAAAAACCTGGATGGAACTCTTCTTTGTGATTATAACTCATGCAGTGTTACAATACCTGCTACCTTAAATTGATTTTGTTTTTAGAAACAGGTTTTATATAGGGATTGAATGGCATTTTTAAAAAATGTCCATGCTGGTAACTGATTTGCGTTCATACCGGCATGAAATTTAAAAAAATGCTGTTCAATCCATATATTTACATTTTGGCTATAGATCAATTGTTTAATTTTTATTTGTTTGTTCTTAAATAATGTATTTACTGCGTTTTGCATATGCGTCGTCCTTTAAATGACACTGGCGGAACAGCTTATTTAAATTAAGTTGGCGCCAATAATTCACCCTAGTCATAATGACCAGTTATCTCTCCATTAACAGCTGTGATACATTTAACAGTGTCCTCATTTATTAAATTTATGACCTAATAACGTTTGTCTCGACTCTCCTGAGTGTGATTCTGATGATACTAAAGCCACATTTATCCAACTGAATGAAGCTTTGACAGTAAACAACATAAATAAATCCTGAATCAGATATAACGATAATTCTTACCTTTGTGTTAATCGTGCTTTTGAAGTGAGAACACAGGACCCGACACCATATATGGAAGTGTGATGAGTCCAGCTGTTGGATCTGTAAAAGTTCAACACAGTTTAAAGACAGTGAGAAGTGTTTCCCTTATCACTTACATTTAGAGATGTCCCCCTTATCTCTTACATTAAGAGTTGCCTCCCTTATCACTTACATTCAGAGTTGCCTCCCTTATCTCTAACATGCAGAGTTGTCCCCCTTATCTCTTACATTTAGAGTCGTCTCCCTTGTCACTTACATTCAGAGTTGTCCCCCTTATCTCTTACATTTAGAGTTGTCTCCCTTATCTCTTACATTCAGAGTTGACTCCCTTATCACTTACATTTAAGTTGTCTCCCTTATCTCTTATATTTAGAGTTGCCTCCCTTATCTCTAACATTCAGAGTTGTCCCCCTTATCTCTTACATTGAGTCATCTCCCTTGTCACTTACATTTAGAGTTGTCTCCCTTATCACTTACATTAAAAGTTGTCTCCTTTATCTCTAACATTTAAGTTGACCCCCTTATCTCTAACATTTAGAGTTGTCTCCCTTATCACTAACATTAAATGTTGTCTCCCTTATCTCTAACATTTAAGTTGACCCCCTTATCTCTAACATTTAAGTTGACCCCCTTATCTCTAAAGTTTATGTTGTCACCCTTATCTCTAACATTTAGTGTTGTCTCCCTTATCTCTAACATTTAAGTTGTCTCCCTTATCTCTAACATTTAAGTTGTCTCCCTTATCTCTAACATTTAAAGTTGTCTCCCTTATCTCTTACAATTTAGTTGTCTCCCTTATCACTTACAATAAAAGTTGAATCCCTTTTCTCTAACATTTAAGTTATCTCCCTTATCTCTAACATTTAAGTTGACCCCCTTATCTCTAACATTTACAATTGTCACCAATATCTCTAACATTTAGAGTTGTCTCCCTTATCTCTAACATTTAGAGTTGTCACCAATATCTCTAACATTTAGAGTTGTCTCCCTAATCTCTAACATTTAAAGTTGTCTCCCTTATCTCTTACATTTAGAGTTGTCTCCCTTATCTCTAACATTAAGAGTTGTCACCCTTATCTCTAACATTTAGAGTTTCCTCCCTTATCTCTAACATTTAGAGTTTTCTCCCTTATCTCTTACATTTAGAGTTGTCTCCCTTATCTCTAACATTCAAAGTTGTCTCCCTTATCTCTTACTATTTATTGGTTGGTTTTTATCTAAAACAGCTTTATTCATGTAAAGGGTCCTGTACCTCTGCTAGAAACTGTAACTTTGTCTTGATAAATGTTTCCTATGGCATAACGACAACTGGACAGAAAAACCATATCATATAACTGGGGCCCCTCAAATTATATCAAAGTAATTTCTTTTTTCTCAAAACTGGTTTGTTGCGATAAATGAGATGACTTCAAACCACAATTTTTGGAGGGAATTACATTTGTTCAAGGTAAACATCTGGAGACTATGTACAACAGGAGACATTTAAATGTATATGATGCTGCAACCTCAACATCACTGATTTTATAGAATATTGTTGTGTTGTTAATAAGTTAGGAAGTTTTGTTCTCATGTTTGACAAAAGTGGCCTCGGTAAAATAACAGATATTATTACCACATGGCCTTGGGTAAGGTCATTGAAATGAGAAATACATAAATCAATACATTGTCATCTTGTAACTTAGGTTTTTTACATAATAAATAAAAGCTTGCCCGAAATACATTGATACATTACAAAGAAACATGTTGCCAATGATACCTTACCATAACAAAAACTTATCACTGTAAATTTATGGTTCTGTAATCACAGATAAAATGTGTAGCTTGTGTTTATCACTGTAAATTTATAGTTCTGTAATCACATATAAAAGGTGTAGGGGAGTGTTTATCACTGTAAGTTTATAGTTCTGTAATCAGAGATAAAAGGAGTAGGGGAGAGTTTATCACTGTAAATTTATAGTTCTGTAATCAGAAATAAAAGGAGTAGGGGAGTGTTTATCACTGTAAATTTATAGTTCTGTAATGAGAGATAAAAGGTGTAGGGGAGTGTTTATCACTGTAAATTTATAGTTCTGTAATGAGAGATAAAAGGTGTAGGGGAGTGTTTATCACTGTAAGTTTATAGTTCTGTAATCACAGATAAAAGGTGGAGGGGAGTGTTTCTCACTGTAAATTTATAGTTCTGTAATCAGAGATAAAAGGTGTAGGGAGTGTTTATCACTGTGTATTTATAGTTCTGTAATCAGAGATAAAAGGTGTAGCTAGTGTTTATCACTGTAAATTTATAGTTCTGTAATGAGAGATAAAAGGTGTAGGGGAGTGTTTATCACTGTAAATTTATAGTTCTGTAATCAGAGATAAAAGGTGTAGCTAGTGTTTATCACTGTAAATTTATAGTTCTGTAATGAGAGATAAAAGGTGTAGGGGAGTGTTTATCACTGTAAGTTTATAGTTCTGTAATCAGAGATCATAATAAATAAAAGCTTGCCCGAAATACATTGATACATTACAAAGAAACATGTTGCCAATGATACCTTACCATAACAAAAACTTATCACTGTAAATTTATGGTTCTGTAATCACAGTTAAAATGTGTAGCTTGTGTTTATCACTGTAAATTTATGGTTCTGTAATCACAGTTAAAATGTGTAGCTTGTGTTTATCACTGTAAATTTATAGTTCTGTAATGAGAGATAAAAGGTGTAGGGGAGTGTTTATCACTGTAAGTTTATAGTTCTGTAATCAGAGATAAAAGGAGTAGGGGAGAGTTTATCACTGTAAATTTATAGTTCTGTAATGAGAGATAAAAGGTGTAGGGGAGTGTTTATCACTGTAAGTTTATAGTTCTGTAATCACAGATAAAAGGTGGAGGGGAGTGTTTCTCACTGTAAATTTATAGTTCTGTAATCAGAGATAAAAGGTGTAGCTAGTGTTTATCACTGTAAATTTATAGTTCTGTAATGAGAGATAAAAGGTGTAGGGGAGTGTTTATCACTGTAAGTTTATAGTTCTGTAATCACAGATAAAAGGTGTAGGGGAGTGTTTATCACAGTAAATTTATAGTTCTGTAATCACAGATAAAATGTGTAGCGTGTGTTTATCACTGTAAATTTATGGTTCTGTAATCACAGATAAAATGTGTAGCTTGTGTTTATCACTGTAAATTTATGGTTCTGTAATCACAGATAAAAGGTGTAGCGAGTCTGGGGTGTTTATCACGGTAAATTTATAGTTCTGTAATCACAGATAAAAGGTGTAGGGAGTGTTTATCACTGTAAATTTATAGTTCCATAATCAGAGATAAAAGGTGTAGGGAGTGTTTATCACTGTAAATTTATAGTTCTGTAATGAGAGATAAAAGGTGTAGGGGAGTGTTTATCACTGTAAGTTTATAGTTCTGTAATCAGAGATCATAATAAATAAAAGCTTGCCCGAAATACATTGATACATTACAAAGATACATGTTGCCAATGATACCTTACCATAACAAAAACTTATCACTGTAAATTTATGGTTCTGTAATCACAGATAAAATGTGTAGCTTGTGTTTATCACTGTAAATTTATGGTTCTGTAATCACAGTTAAAATGTGTAGCTTGTGTTTATCACTGTAAATTTATGGTTCTGTAATCACAGATAAAATGTGTAGCTTGTGTTTATCACTGTAAATTTATGGTTCTGTAATCACAGTTAAAATGTGTAGCTTGTGTTTATCACTGTAAATTTATGGTTCTGTAATCACAGATAAAATGTGTAGCTTGTGTTTATCACTGTAAATTTATAGTTCTGTAATCAGAAATAAAAGGAGTAGGGGAGTGTTTATCACTGTAAATTTATAGTTCCATAATCAGAGATAAAAGGTGTAGGGAGTGTTTATCACTGTGTATTTATAGTTCTGTAATCAGAGAAAAAAGGTGTAGGGGAGTGTTTATCACTGTGTATTTATAGTTCTGTAATCAGAGATAAAAGGTGTAGGGGAGTGTTGATCACTGTAAATTTATAGTTCTGTAATCAGAAATAAAAGGAGTAGGGGAGTGTTTATCACTGTAAATTTATAGTTCTGTAATGAGAGATAAAAGGTGTAGGGGAGTGTTTATCACTGTAAGTTTATAGTTCTGTAATCAGAGATAAAAGGTGTAGCTAGTGTTTATCACTGTAAATTTATAGTTCTGTAATCACAGATAAAAGGTGGAGGGGAGTGTTTCTCACTGTAAATTTATAGTTCTGTAATCAGAGATAAAAGGTGTAGCTAGTGTTTATCACTGTAAATTTATAGTTCTGTAATCACAGATAAAATGTGTAGCGTGTGTTTATCACTGTAAATTTATGGTTCTGTAATCACAGTTAAAATGTGTAGCTTGTGTTTATCACTGTAAATTTATAGTTCTGTAATGAGAGATAAAAGGTGTAGGGGAGTGTTTATCACTGTAAGTTTATAGTTCTGTAATCACAGATAAAAGGTGTAGGGGAGTGTTTATCCAGAGAATAATGATTAAACATGTTCAATAAACCTTTGTTATTAAATTTTAAATCTATTAATAGCTTGCCTTGACAGTTCTGTTTTCCTTCATCCTGTCTCCGGTAATATAGATATCATGTGACCAGTTACCATGGGAACCTAGTGGGCGGAGCTTGATACTTCTCACCTCCTCAGGTTCAAGGACAAATGTTGGAAGTTGTTGATTGTGATGAAGTTCAAGGTCATATCCATCATTACTGGTTGTTGTGTTGACCTTGACCTCAAATGGTAAGGTCAAACAACTGAACAACATCAGCTGACCTCTAACCTTTATCTGTAAGAAACAAAACAAAATACATAACAAAAATATCTAAATCTTTAAAAGTAACCAGTTCCTTCGAATACCCAAAGTCATTGATGAGTGATAAATCATCTCCCTTGAATATCATACTAGTCATTGATGAGTGATAAATCATCTTCCTTTAATATCATACTAGTTATCAATGAGTAATAAATTATCTCCCTTGAATATCATACTAGTCATTGATGAGTGATAAATGATCTCCCTTGAATATCATACTAGTCATTGATGAGTGATAAATCATCTCCCTTGAATATCATAAGTCATTAATGTTAGGACTATTGATTTAAAGTAACAGTTTTGTGACAAATAAACCCCTCCCCACCCCTCCAACAAAAAGAAGAGAATTTGTTTCAAGATCGAAGCTGTAACACTTTTTACAACACAATAAGAAAGAAAGATCAAAGCTGTAACACTTTTACAACACAATAAGAAAGTAAGATCATAGCTGTAACACTTTTACAACACAATAAAAAAGTAAGATCATAGCTGTAACACTTTTACAACACAATAAAAAAGGAAGATCATAGCTGTAACACTTTTACAACACAATAAGAAAGGAAGATCAAAGCTGTAACACTTTTACAACACAATAAGAAAGTAAGATCAAAGCTGTAACACTTTTACAACACACAAAGAAAGTAAGATCATAGCTGTAACACTATTACAACACAATAAGAAAGTAAGATCATAGCTGTAACACTTTTACAACACAATAAGAAAGTAAGATCAAAGCTGTAACACTTTTACAACCCAATAAGAAGGTAAGATCAAAGCTGTAACACTTTTACAACACAATAAGAAAGTAAGATCATAGCTGTAACACTATTACAACACAATAAGAAAGTAAGATCAAAGCTGTAACACTTTTACAACACAATAAGAAATTAAGATCAAAGCTGTAACACTTATAATGATAGTTTGATATTTTAATATTAAACTATAGTTTATATACAATGAGTTTGCCTTGCTGCCTATGTTTTCTGTTTTCTGTAATGTAGGTCGTATGTATTTATGTAGTTGCCAATTAGCATGTATGTTAATGAGAGTAGAGGGATGCTGCTGATTGACCAATCAGCGTCTGCCTGAGGGAATGCCCTGTTAGGGATTTGGAGCCCCCACAGCATAGTTTTCTGAATCATTGAAGGAGATTGTTGTGCATTATTTCTCGGCTTTTCAAGTTTAAAATTCCTTGAAAAACTAACGAACATCCTTGGATTTACCTGTGTAATATAGTCACTAACGATATTTGGCTAAAAAGGACACCCTAATAGCTACAGTTAAGGTCTATCTTGGTTACCGTAACCTCTTTGGACTTTCCTCCCGAGGAGTTGGAAGTGTTATCGCCATCTTGGAACGTACTTTGTAACATGATTTCTCAAGTGTTTCTGTTCGTACTAGCCTCCCCGCAACTGTTTATGTGACGTGTTTCCTTTAAACCACGCCTGAGTGCTTCGTATAGACCTACCGACGATGTGTACGCTGTGCCTTTGTGATTAAACTTTGTGCTGTTTACGTAACTGTACAGAATACTTTGTTACTATCGTCGGAGACGTTTTGTTTACAATGGGCAGGAATACGAGGCCTGTGCCATACGACCCTGGATTATTCTCTCAACGTTCCGTTTATGTTTTGATCTCGGCGTATGGGGTTAGTTAAGAAGTCACGGGAAGCGAGAACTTCTGCCCCAGTTGCAAGTGTTACGGGAAGCGAGACCTTCTGCCCCAGTCGCACATCACAGGAGAGTTGCGGTATACCATAATGCATCGCGGCAAGATGGCGGACAGGAAGTTTCACGAGAGTCTGTAACAACAAACACCACTGCATATCAACACGAATCTGAGTCGTCGAGTAGTAATAACCATTTACTCTTTGGTACAAGCTTAACAGATAGTGTAGCTACACTACAGGAGTGCTATCAGAGACTGGAAATAGGATAGTCTCCCAATCCAGGCTTCCAGTGGCAGCAGCCGCAGCGTAGCGAGAGAGGGACTGATGGCCACATCAGTGAACCACAACAGGAGTACACTCTGGGTACGGCATACAGACGTTTCGAGGACGAATTCACGCAACCACAAGGCTACTATGGAGAGTATCTACTTGACGGCTTCACATTCCTGCCAACCCTAGTCTGACGTTGAGGTATCTCCCTGGAATACTGGGAGCTACTCTAATCTCAGTGTCTATCTACTTCATCACTCCACTCTACCTCATCACGTGCACTCATACTTCCATTTTCAGTATTTCTTCTCCTCTGATTTCCGATCATAGTGCATTTTCTGTCAATTGCAGCTTCTCCTAGTTTCCCATGTACAACTCAAATGCCGATTGTAATGATAAATTTATTATAACTCGGTCATTTTTTTTAAAATATCGAGCTGAAATTTGGAAGGTATATCAATAAAAGCCTTACTAATAACACATCTTCTGATGTCGCTTACTTTAGCAGGTAATTGTAACGATATTATCTGGCGACGCTTTCTTCACTTTACATGCTAATACACACATGTGCCACGCCGCGATCGTAAAAA